ACAAGGGCAGGAGAGCCCTCCATCACTGACTTCCAGATCAGGGACCCTGCCAAGTAGGGACTGTCTTCTCAGCCAGCCGTTTATTAGTCTAGTATTCCTTTACTAAATTCCAGCTCTATGTCTGGACCTGTGTTAGTCACTTCAGATGCCACACGAGTAAGACAGGGGCCCTGCAGGGGTGGTCCTTTGGTGGAAAGCTGGTCTTAAGGGTTGGGCTTGGGAATAGGCAGGGTCAGATTCCAGGGCATGACTCTGGACTCAGCGGGTTTATACCTGTGTGACCATTGCAGTTGTCTATAGACCACATCCATTCTGGCTGTCAACATGCATGCTATACTGGCTGTTAAATAAAAATATTCTGAATGTCACCCCTTTTGAGGGACAGCACAGCCTTCCCTAGGCACTCTCCTACATTCCCCAGCCAAGTAATAGAGTCGAATGCACCCACATTTGCCTGTGTCCTTGATTTAGCAGGAAGGAAAGAAATGGTCTGGGTTGATGGATGCCCACTTCTCTTCTCTTTCTCTTGGTCAACTCAGGAGCCTTTTAGTCTGAGGGAATGGAGAGGCAAAGAAATAAGGGAGAGTAATAGAAATGGGAGGGCAGAGACTTAAGGGTTCTGCTTCGCAGCACTAGAAATTCTATCATTGCTCAGCCCCAATGAGAAAGCAGATACACCTAAGCCATCATCAGCTGCTAACATCTCAACTTGCCAGTTGCTGGGTGCTGTGCCCTGGCAGGAACGGGCCAAGCCAAGCAGGGGAGACCAGAGAGCACCAATGGCCAACACTGCTGCCTGGCTGTGGAGGCTGTGCTGTTTCCCCTGGAGACCTGACCAGTCTGTGGTTCCCACAGGACCAGGGTTGTCTTTTGAGCCCCCAGTGTCTGGTTTCATTCATCTCAGATTTGTTATTTCACTCATCTCTAATAAAGGATTGGGGGGTCAGTTTCCAGTGGTTTCATTTATGTGATCTAAAGAGCAACAGGGAGGGGAACGGAATCTTGGGGCTTGAAATTCTTTCTCTGGACCTGGCAAGGGAGATGGCCTGATGTGGAATAGTGGTTTGCAACCACAGTGTTTTGCCCCAGGGAACTTCTGATAAAGCAGAAAACAGTTTTGACTGTTCCCAACTGGAGGGTGCTAGTGGCATTTAGTGGACAAAGGTCAGGGATGCTCCTAATCATCCTATGGTGCACAGGTCAACCCTCCATAGCAATGCAGTATTCAGTCCAAAATGCTAATAATGCCAAGGTTGAGAAACCCTGGAAAGAACACTGGACTGGGAGTCTGGAGACCTGAAATTCTAGCTCTCCCGTGGTCCTCTGCCACTGTCTCTGCTGATTGCCCCTGAGACAAGGATTTGGGAGCAAGTAGCTTATCTGTGAAATGATCCCAGGAAGCATAATGAGGGAATAGAGAAGTGAAACAGAAAGTCAAAGAGCAATAAAGAGCTGGGTGTGGTGGTGAGAACCTATAGTCCAGCTATTCGGGTGGGAGAATTGCTTGAGCCCAGGAGTTCAAGGCTGCAGTGAGCCATGATGGCGCTACTGCACTCCAGCCTGAGCAACAGAGCGAGTCTCTGTCTCTAACTCTTGTTGAGGACCTGTGAGAAACAGTACTGACTACAACATGCCTTCGCATTGTCCCATTGAGAGTAAAGAAACTGGATGTTTTCCACCAACTCCGGTTTCTTGCTGGTTGGGGGTATCCTTTCTGAGGGCATCAATTTCCTATCACCCCAAAGCTCCTAATCAGAGAAATGTGGGGAGCTGTCCAAGGTGTGTCCAGGAATTATCTTCCAGTGACCTGCAGGGTGGATAAGTAGGCAGAGGGGATATGATGATATCAACAGGGTCCAACCCTGAGAGGATCATCACCCTCTTTAGGCCTCAGTCTTCCCATCTATACAATAAAGAGGTTGGACTCCATGTTTTCTTAGGGTCCTTCATACGTGGATGTTCTAGGTGACCGGCAGCGCACCATGCTCAGGTCACACAGCTTAGGGTGAGGACTGGGTAGAAGTTTGAGAAAAATTCTTTTTTTTTCTTTTTCTTTTCTTTTCTTTTTTTATGGCTCTGTCTCCCACACTGGAGTACAGTGGCACAATCAGAGCTCACTGTAACCTTGAACTCCTGGGCTCAAGCAATCCTCCTCCCTCAGCCTTCTGAGTAGCTGGGACTATAGGCCCATGCCACCATGCCTGGCTTTTTAAAATAATTTGTAGAGACGAGGTCTCTCTCTGTTGCCCAGACTAGTCTTGAACTCCTGGCTTCAAGCAGTCCTCCTGCCTTGGCCTCCCAAAGTGCTAGGATTACAGGCATGAGTCACCACTCCTGGCCGTTTTTTTTTTTTTTTTTTTTAAGGCAATCCTAAGTAGCCTCAGGCTGCTGAGGTTGAATCGCTTCAACCCAGAAGGGCTTGGCTGGGATTGGCCAAAAGGCCTCCCAAAATCCCAAACCATTAGAGTCTAACCTCCCCAATGTGACTGGCAGCTCTGCATGCTCAGGTCCCACCCACTGCCTCTCCCCCACACTCCTCACCTCTGTGCTGCAGCCACGCCAAATTTTCAGTTCCTCCAACACTGTCAGGCAGGCCAGGCACCCTCCCATCCCTAAGCTTTGCACATTTGGAATTCACTCCAAGAGAAGAGGACTGTTTTGTTCCTCTCTGGGTATCCAGAACAAGAAATGCCTGGCACATATTAGGTGCTCCATAAATATATGTTGAATGCCTCTTCCTTTCTTCCGTGAACACTCTGCCTCCTCCCCTCCATGGCCGCTGTGTGCTTCAGCCCAAAGTTTAAACTTCGTTTCTTCAGAGAAGATGACACCCTAAATAGTGCAGGTCCCCTCAAATGTGTCCTTAAGGTCCTTCACTGCTTCCTGCCCTTCACCCCAGCTATGATAAATACATTAATTGACCATGTCTGTTTTTGTTTAAGGTTTCTCTTGCCCATAGACTGAGTCTCAAGCTTTCTGGGACCAGGTCTGTCTTGTTCATTGCTTGGACACTCAATATGTATTTGTTGAATGGATGAAAAAACCCACTCTGTCCTCCCTTGATCCCAGTCACAAAGCAATTAGAAGATAGGTGTTCACACCAAGCTGCCTCTGCTACCCAAGCTGAAATGGCGTTCGGTCAGGAAAATGGGGAGATTTCACTTGACACCCCAACCCCAGCTCCCGCAGTCGCAACCTGCACACCCTGTGGACCACTTTTCATGCCTTCCCTCCAGGTTTCTGAGCCCCACTCCCGTCACAGGAAGATCATTTTCTGTCCATTAAACTCATTTAGCAAGAGAACTGGATCTGTGGGAGATACTTGGAGATCACTGGAGATCATTCCATGGGAAGGCAGATCTGTGCATGGCTGGGGAAGGTAGACACAGTTGTGTTTGCACCACTCCACCAAGATGACCCTTCTAAACCCAACCCCACTGAGGGGGCACTGGCCTGACCTGGCAGCCTTGCACCTGGATCAGTATTTCTCAAAATTTGGTGCACGCAAGAATGAATCTTGTCTGTAATCACAGCTTTGGGAGGCTGAGGCAGGAGGATCCCTTGAGACCAGGAGTTCCAGACCAGCCTGGGCAACATAGCAAGACTCACTCTTTACAAAAAAATTTAAAAAATTAGCTGGGCATGATATATGACTCCCACCTGTAGTCCTTGCTACTCAGGAGGCTGAGGCAGAAAGGATCACTTGAGCCGGGGAGGTCGAGGCAGTGAGCGTGATTGCTCCACTGCACTCTGGCCTCAGCAACAGAGGGAGACCCTGTCTCAAAAAAATAAAAGTAATCTCCCCCACAAGCTCTCACTACTCAAGAGTGTAGTTCTGGGACCAGCAGCAACCCCAGCACCTAGGAGCTTGTTCAAAATGCAAAGCCTTACTAACAAAATAGCTAGCAAACTAAGTTTTAGGTAGACAGAGGCAAACAGGAGCCTGGATACACGTGGCATGCACAGGCCGTGTGCAGGATGGAGTGAGTGCAGGTTAAAGCAGAGCTGGATTTAGTGATCTACACACACACACACACACACACACACACACGATATTCGAGCGCACCCAGTTGCCTCCACTTGGGCATAGGCGTGGAACTGAGTCCTCCCGTTTTGAGATGCAACGGTGCAGAGACCCGGGAGCCCAGAAAGCTTCCCGGGGCCACACACACACACACACACACACACACACACACACACACACACAGGATTCGAGCGCACCCAGTTGCCTCCACTTGGGCATAGGCGCGGAACTGAGTCCTCCCGTTTTGAGATGCAACGGTGCAGAGACCCGGGAGCCCAGAACGCTTCCCCGGGCCCCTGGGACACCCTCGGGCGCCCCCGCGACCGTCGCCTGTGGCCAGGTCACAGCCTCCCAACTTGCCAGAGAACCCTCCTTCCCAAATCTCCCTTCGGTCCCCCGGCGCCCCTGGAAGCGCCGGAGGTGGAGGGTCCCCCCTCTCAGCCTCGTTCCTCCCCTGAGGCCCGACCGGCCGGCGCGGGCAATCAGTGCCCTGGCAAGTCCTTGAAGTCTATATTTAGTGCCCGCCACCCCTCCCCCGCACAGTTGGAAGGCGGGCGGTGGGGGGTGGGGGTGGGGAGAGCCCCGCCCCCGCCGGGCGTGTGTGTCGTGTGTGTTTGGGGCCCGCTCGGGTTGCGCGCCCTCCGCCTTCGCGCCTCCTGCCCCCGAGGCCCGACTGCTGCCCCTGCGCCCCTCGCCCCGCCAGGCGTCGCGGGCCAACATGGGCCAGGAAGAGGAGCTGCTGAGGATCGCCAAAAAGCTGGAGAAGATGGTGGCCAGGAAGAACACGGTGAGGCTGCAGAGTTTGGGCCACGGCCCCCGCCCCCGGGAGGCGCGGGCGAGCCCCGGATTCCGGGGTGGGGACGTACTGGCGGGGCGCGTATGGGACTCCAGGACCCGAGGGAGGAGCGGCTGGTGCAGGGCCCAAGGCCCCTTAGGGACCCTTGCTGAGCACCTCGAGGTGGGTGTGTGCGTGGCCCAGGACGCCAGGGGGATCTTGCGGGTCCCAGAGGCGCGACTTGTGCACGTCCCTTTGGACGTGTAGGGTTCACCCTGGGCAGCTAATGCGGGGCCCAGGAAAGCGGGCGAAGAGAGCTGGACGTGGGAAAGGACTTTGGGAGTCCCAGGACTTGGCGTGTGCAAAGCCCGGGGAGTGGCGGCGATGGCGGGGGCGGGGCTGGGGGCAAATCCTGGTGGCCCGAGAAGTGGCAGAGAAACTTGGACTGACGGGGGTACTGAGCTGCATCTCTGCACCCCGGAGTGGGTCTGCGGGAGAGAAGTAAGAGGCCGTGGATCGTGCGACCCCACAGCTTGGGGCGTCAGGAGCGGTTCTTTTGGCAACTTTCCCTTTCCTTGGCCTTGGGGTGCGGCCCGGACGGGCGGGGGCCGAACAGGTGCGGGGGCCCGCGGGGCGGGGGAAGGGGGCCGGGCTGGAGGCCTGTGCAGCAAGGGCGAGGGCGGAGGGAGGAGCGGGCTCGGCGGGAGGTTGGGAGCAGGGCTGACAGCCCTACCGGAGGGTCCTGGCCAGAGCGCAGATCCAACTGGAAGTTAATGTTTGATCTTCCCCGTGATCTTTGCCTGGGGTTGGCGGCCGACTGGTCGCCTGGCCAGAGCAAATTTGGCCTTGGGTCCTGGAGGGCCTGGGCTCGCCCTGGGAGGGAAGAAAGGGAGCCTGGTGAGCATGACCATCCCACCTCCCTGCCCTGTCCCTGGGTCCTCTTCCTCCCACCATCGGTAGCCATGTGCTGCAGCCACTTGCACTGCCAGGACCTAAGAGCCTGGGAAAGGAAGAGACCCTAAGGGAAGTTTTAGAGCCAGGAAGAGTAGCCAAGGCCCAGGGAAGGGTCGCTGGAACCATGGAGTGGCAGGATGGACACTGGGCAGTCATGAGGTGGTGTCTATATAAAGGCCAGAGCCTCAGTTTCTCCATCTGTAAGAAAGAGATGAGATTATCTGCCTCTAGAGAAGGGATGTCACTGGATTCTTGTCTCTGCTGGCAGCGATGAGGATTGGAGAGATGAGACAGAGCTGTAAACCCCTTAGTAGGACTCAGACCGGTGCTTGGTAAGAGCTGGCGAACAAGATCTGCTTCTAGGCAGCCAGGTCCAACACAAAAAGGTACAGCACAAACCTGCAGAGTGCTGGGAGCTTCTCACCCGACACTCCCAACCTCTACGCGCTCCCTATTCCAGACTCCTCCACAACACTCAGTGCAACTGAACCTCAAGTCATGGGGCGCATTTTCTCAGCTGGGGTTGGCGGAGCCCAGCCAGGGATTCTGAGCCAAATTCTAGTTCAAATAGACAGGTTATCCCAGCCCAGCTCCTTGCTGACCCCCAAGTTTGGGCCAGGAAAGAAATTCTGGGCCTCTGGGTAAGAGGGGTAGGGTGGGGACGCCTAGAGACCCAGGGACAAGCAGCCTGCTTGGGGTAGAGCTCTGGCTGAAGATGAAGGAAACTGCCATGGGCTCCCCCTCACTCCTTTTATGACCCTAGGCAAAAGCCATTCAACCTTCCCTCTCTGAGCCTCAAGTTTCCTCTTCTGTGAAGTGGGAAGAGGAAATGGTGTCTTTTGGAGATGGATTCCTGTGGAAGTGCCCAGAGCTGTCCCCAGAAAAGATGCAAGTCTGGCCGCAGGGTCCCTGCAGCGTGGAGCCAGTTTACAGCCACGTCTGCGCCTGGACTCTTGGCAGCATCTGGGTGGGCACGGAGCTCTGGGCGTCTGGCCGAGAAAGGTGGGGCCTGCTCTAGGATTGAAAGTGGACCCGCCCAGCGGTGGTTAGGCAGAGGAGGACATACTTCCTGTAATAAGACGGATCCTCCACGTTGCAGCTCAGGCCTGGGGTTTACTGCCAATTGCTGAAGTCTCAGCCACTTAGGGCTTTGTCACATCCTCTGAGCATGCACTAACAGAAGCAACTTCAAACATACAACAAAGTGCCTACGGTCACAGCTACACACACACACACACATAGCTATAATGTGCGGCTACAACACAGCAGTTAAACAAGCAACTGAACCTAACTGCATATGAGACACGGCTACTGACACCAACATGACAAGCATCCTGATCCATATGACCCACATTGACCATTAGAGTTACAGAATGATACACAAAGACAGCCACACACGTGCGCACGCAGCACAGCTACACCCAGACATGCAATGCTACAGGCTTAGCAAACAGCCACATTTATACATTCAGATGTTATAACACAGGCATCATCCCACAAAGACAAATAGACACAGCTGTGCCTGGAGCTGCATATTCACAGCTCCACACTTAGACCAGAGATACTGCTGGCTGCAGAACCCATATGTGTATTCAGAGAGATACACCCAGCAACATTTGCACAAGGCTTTGTGAACCCAGCTACAATCCAGGCTCATGGCTGTTCTCCTCCAATATGACCCAGTTATACAACCGTGACACACGAGGCATATACCCAGTGGGGAGCTGGAACTGGCTTAACGCTGATTGTTGCATTTTCAGGAATTTTGCAACCTGGTGGTTAAACACAGCAATTGTTTTAAAAAATTACATTATCTGCTTACAATTAAATAAATTATATTAAAAACAAAGGTAATGAATCCTCCCAAATAATCACTTCCTGGTTATTTTACTACATTGTACTGTCATGTATGGTCAGAGGTAATTTACTTCTATTGTTATCTGTACGATGGAAATGCTGTAGAATGTACATCTATAGTACTGTACATCTCCTCCCAAAACTTCCTTCAGTTCAGTGACAGCATGTCGGTAGCTTGAAATTGGCCACGGGATGAGTGTTTACACCACAGAAATTGGCAAACACTATAGGTCAGTTGTTTTTTTTTTTTCCCCCTTGAGAACTGGTTGTTAAACGTTGGCCAGCACACCACTGCACTTACCCATGTTGATATTCCATGATTGTGTATGTGTAGACAGATCTATGCCTACGCTAACACAATTTGTATAGTAATTAGAGCCCAAAAGGCCTGAGTTTGAATCCCTGCTTGGCTCCTTATAAAGTATGTGACCTTGAGAAAATTACTTAACCTCTCTGTTTCTTGGATTGCTCCTTGGTGAACATGGGATAATAATTCTGTAAAAATGGGACTAATACGCAGGACCCACCCGATAGGGTCATTGTGAAACTTAAATGAGATAATGCAGGTAAAATACTTAGAAGAGTACCCAGTACATAGCAAGCCTTTAATTAATGTTACACTTGGAATTGTGCACCCCCAAGTTCACATGCACACACATCTGCAGGTCACGCCTCTGAAAACATACCGCGAACCCAAGTTCTCAGGGAGGCTAAGGACTGACAGAGGGCAGCTCTTGGGACATGGTCCAGGTCCTGGCAGGGTAGGGATTGGCAGCTGGAACCATGAAGTGTGGGCCAAGGATAGGAACATACAGGACACAGTCAGCTGGTGCTCCCCAGGGAACTGATCTCAGGACAGCAGGCAGGTATGGCTTCTAGGAAGGGGTTGGGGGAAAGGAGAAGGCTGAAATGGGTCAGAGGGTGTCCAGGGCCTGGCAGCTCACAGATTTTCAAACCTAAACCTTATTTTTCTCCCACCCGCCTTCTTTCTGCTTTAATCCTGCACAAGTTCATCCACTCAGGAAGCACTGGGCTCTCTGCTGAGCCCTAAGGTCTCAGAGATTAGAACGGTTCCCTTTACCTGAGAGAAGTCAAGGTATCTGTCCACACAAAGACTTGAAATGAATGTACCTAGAAGCTTTATTTTTAGCAGCCCCAAACTGGAACCTATCCATAAGTCCCATCAACCAGTGAATGAATTTAAAACATTGTGGTAGACTGAGCGTGGTGGCTCACGCCTGTAATCCCAGCACTTGGGGAGGCCAAGGCAGGAGGGTCACTTGAGACCAGAAGTTTGAGACCAGCTTGGGTGACATGGCAAAACCCCATCTCTACAAAACAATACAAACAATTAGCCAGATGTGGTGGTTCATACCTGTGGTCCCAGTTATTCGGGAGGCTGAGGTGGGAGGATCACCCGAGCCTGGCAAGTCAAAGCTGCAGTGATTGTGCCACTGTGCTCCAGCCTGGGCAACAGGGTGAGATCTTGTCTCCAAACAAACAAACAAACAACAAACAAACTGTGGTACAATACATACAGTGGAAAACCACTCAGCAATAAAAATGAACTACTGATCCACGAGACAACATGGATGAGTCTCAGAAATAATTATGCCCAAATAAGCCAGATAAAAAAGGGGTTTTGTCCTACATACTCTATATAAAATCCTTAAAGATACAAGGTCACCCATAGTAACAGAAGGCAGAATTGTGGTTGTTTAGGATTGGGGATGGGGAGGGATGGATTAGAAAGAGGACAGGAAGAAGCTTTTGGGGTTGGTGGCTGTGCTTTTATCTTGATTATGGTGAGGATTCCATGGGTGTACAGGTATGTTGAAACTCATCAAATTTTACGCTGTAAAATATGCAGTTATTGTATGTCAATTATACCTCAATAAAGCTGTTTTTTTGTTTTGTTTTGTTTTGTTCGAGTTGGAGTCTCGCTCTGTCACCCAGGCTGGAGTGCAGTGGCGCCGTCTTGGCTCACTGTAACCTCCATCTCCCGGGCTCAAGCGATTTTCCTGCCTCAGCCTCCTGAGTAACTGGGGTTACGGGCATGCGCCACCACGCCTGGCTAATTTTTGTATTTTAGTAGAGATGGGGCTTCACCATGTTGGCCAGGCTGGTCTTGAACTCCTGGCCTCAAGTGATCCACCCACCTCAGCCTGCCAAAGTGCTGGAATTATAGGTGTGAGCCACTGTGCAGGCCAAGCTGTTTTGTTTTGTTTTTTAAAAAGGCCCCGGTCCTCAGCCTGCGAAGTTCACAGTGGGGAGGTATGGGGAGGACGCTCCAGGCACACGAGCAACAATAAGCCAGGAAGGAATTCATTTTGGAGGAAAGATGGGGAAAGGGGAGGACAGTCCTGGGAAGAGGCACAGCAGAACCAAAGGCTGGAGGTCAGGAGCCTGGCTCAGAGGGTTTGAACCCAGCAGGTGGCGGGGGATGAAGTTAGAGCATCGTCTAGGACAGAATGTTTCTCGTCTCTCTCCTTCCTTCTGCCCCTTGCCTGTCCTTCGGCCACGTGTCTGTATTCTCCTCCTCCCTGTACCAAGACCACACAGTAGTCAGAGAAGCCCGGGCAGGACCCAGGCCCCAGTCCTCACCTTGTGGTCTCCCACAGGAAGGGGCCCTGGACCTTCTGAAGAAGCTGCACAGCTGCCAGATGTCCATCCAGCTACTACAGGTGGGGTGGGGGTGGGAAGCCTTGGGGCAGTGCCTGGGAGGAGAGTTGGTGGGTGAGGGAAAGACCCCCAATGGGGGAAGGTGAAGTCTGGGAGGAATTTCTGAGGGGAGGCCGCAGAGGTGGGAATCTTGAGGTGCAGACCTCCCAGGGAGGGACTGAGGGGGACACAGGGGCATCTTGGGGGCAGAGAGGGTACCTTCTAGGTGTCAGGGACCTCTGGGCCTTGGAGCAAGACTGGTTTGCTTTTCTTGAATACTCCAATTCCCAAGGCCCTGGGCCTGTGGGATCCAGGAGGCCAATGATCCAGGGAGAGGGAAAAGTCCCCCATTTAAAATCCCTGTGTGGCCCTTAAAGTCCCCAAATTTACCAAAAGCTCCTGGCGGTGAAAAATGAGCACAGACAGATGCAAGATCGCATAGCTGGAGCTGCTGTCTCAGTTGAAACTGGAGCTCAAAGACACTAGAGGGAGCTGGCTACGGTGGCTCTCGCCTGTAATCCCAGCACTTTGGGAGGCCGAGGAGGGCAGATCACCTAAGGTCAGGAGTTCAAGACCAGCCTGGCCAGCATGGTGAAACCCCGTTTATACTAAAGATACAAAAAGTAGCTGGGCACGGTGACGGACACCTATAACCCCAGCTACTCGGGAGGCTGAGACACGAGAATCACTTGAACCTGGGAGGTGCAGTGAACTGAGTGCAGTGAACTGAGATTGCACCACTGCACTCCAGCCTGGGCAACACAGCGAGACTCCATCTCAAAAAAATAGACACTAGAGGGTTGGGAATGGGAGGGGTCCTGAGAGTCAGCCAAGTGCCGCCCCCAACCCTAGGTGCAGCCTTTCACCAAAGCCACAGGTATCCTCCATGTCAGGCTTAGCCCTGGGCCCTCGACCTCGTGCAGAGCAGGGCCTCAGTTATAGTAGTGGAGTTCTGACCTCAGCCAGGAGTCAGGGCTAGGACTCTGGGGATACAGGTTGGAAGGGGAGGTGGTGGTAGAGCTGGGGCAGGACCTGCCAATGAGGGCAGCCATTCCTGTGTATCCATTCCCCGATCATGCCTTAACCCTGTCACTTTGCAGACAACCAGGATTGGAGTTGCTGTTAATGGGGTCCGCAAGCACTGCTCAGACAAGGAGGTGGTGTCCTTGGCCAAAGTCCTCATCAAAAACTGGAAGCGGCTGCTAGGTGAGACAGGACAAGGTTGACTTGAGTCCTGTTTTTCTTCTAGCACTTGGGACAGGACTGGGCCTGACTCATAGCCGGCACTCAGTGTATGTCTGTTGAATGACTTAATCAGTGACAGATGGCCTCTGGATCTGGGAGGTAGCTAGTGGGGGACTGCCAATGTTTGTGTACATAAGTACAAGATTTGTAGACTTGTGAGTTTTGTGTACATGCAACCCTTATGTGTTTGTGCTCTCACGCATTTGTCTATATAATACATGTCTACATACATGCATTTATCTGAATATGTGCAGAGGTGTGTTTGCCAATGTATTTATGTCCCCATGTGAGAATGCATATTTGTACACATGGTTCTGTTGTATGTGCATTTGTGTGTAAATGTGTTTGCGTGTGTGTTGGGAGTGTGTGTGCAACTGTCCTCGTCCCTGCCCTTTGCTCCCTGCCCACTAAAGTCATGCTGGGTTCTGCTGAGACAGAGCTTAGCTGAGGGACAATGCCACCCTTTTGCTTTCAGACTCCCCTGGACCCCCAAAAGGAGAAAAAGGAAAGGAAAGAGAAAAAGCAAAGAAGAAGGAGAAAGGGCTTGACTGTTCAGACTGGAAGCCAGAAGCAGGCCTTTCTCCACCAAGGAAAAAACGAGAAGACCCCAAAACCAGGTATCCTTTTCTGGGATGGAGACAAGGGAGCTGACACTTGTCACGTCCTCTGCCAGCAGCTCTGTGTATATTATCTCATTTAAACCTCGCATCCTGGGGAGGAAGATATTGGTATTATCTCATGCAGTGCCCCCTCTGGGGGTCTTCTTTGGCTCAACCAGACGTTAGACTCACAAGACCCAAATAGGCCATAAATAGTACTGGCTTTGCCTAGAAGGATGCAGGGACAGGAAAGAGTGTGTCTACAGGAGGGCCTCCAGCATTCCTCTACAGAGAGTTCCCATAGGAGACCACACAGCAGTCTAGAGCTCTTCTCTGGCCCACCCAGGCAACAGACGGGATGCAGGGAAACAAGACCACAGTGGGTATATACCTCACATCCAAATTTTGTAACAGTCCCAAAGACAAAGTTTCTAAGATGCTAGCAAAGGCAATAGCCACTTATAAGATTCACTGCACCTGGTGTGGTGGCTCACACCTGTAATCCCAGCACTTTGGGAGGCTGAGGCAGGAGGATCACTTGAGCCCATGAGTTTGAGACAAGCCTGGGCAACATGGCAAAACTCCGCCTCTACAAAAAATACAAAAATTAGCCAGGTGTGGTGGTGCGCACCTGTAATCCTAGCTACTCTGAAGGCTGAGGTGGGAGAATCACTTGTGCCCGGGAGATGGAGATTGCAGTGAGTTGAGACTGCGCCACTGCACTCCAGCCTGAGCAACAGAGCAAGACCCTATTTCAAAAACAAACAAAACCCAAGACATATATTATAAATTAAAAGGATCTCTACTTTCTGCATTATACAATAAAAATTTTAAATCTGAATTGTTGGGGTTTTTCACAATGATCCTGTACTGCTTTTGAAACAAAAAAATAATAATAGTGCTTTTAAAAACTAAACAAATAAGAGTGATAAAAATCTATTGTAGAAAATAATGGAAGGCCGGGCACGGTATCTCACCCCTGTAATCCCAGCACTTTGGGAGGCCAAGGTGGGTGGATCACCTGAGGTCGGGAGTTCGAGACCAGCCTGATCAACATGAAGAAGCCCCATCTCTACTAAAAATACAAAATTAACGGGGCGTGGTGGCGCATGCCTGTAATCGCAGCTACTCAGGAAGCTGAGGCAGGAGAATCACTTGAACCCGGAAGTTGGAGGTTGCAGTGAGCCAAGATTGCGCCATTGCACTCCAGCCTGGGCAACAAGAGCGAAACTCCGTCAAAAAAAAAAAAAAAAAGGAAAATTTAGAAAAGTAGAAAAAAAAATCACCCACATTCCCACCACCCAAAGACAATCACCACTCTTGATGTGTTGGTGTATGGCTTTTCTTTCTGTTCTCTTTTTGACTTGTTTTCTATAGTCATCCCCAATTTTAATAGTCTGCTTTTTAAAAGGTAATGCCTGTGAGATGGTTTTGTCACATTTTCTATGTTCCGTTCCTTTCCATTGCTTATTTTGCAAGTGTATCCTACTTGGAAAAACCCTAACTGGCATCTAACTTTTCACATGAGTGTGTTTTCTTTTCCCAAAGGGGTTAGAAGTGTGGCTGGGGGGAGTCCCTGACCATCTCCACAGTGCCTAGTACGGAGTGAACATTTACTGAATATTGCCAGCCCATTTGTAGCAGCATGGTCGCCCACCCTGTGGATTACCTCCCGTTCATGCCCTGGTTGGTCTGGCCATGTCTGGAGCACCTGTGTGGTTATGAGAACCTTGGCAAATGAAGGACCAGGAGCAGGAGAGCTCTTGTGAGATGAAGCTGAAGGACTAGAGGCTGAACTACTGGGGACGGACCAAATGGGATTTGGGACTAATCTGTCACGTGGGGAGTGTAGGCATTGAGGCTAAAGGCTGGAGCGGAAACATATGCCATGTTTTGTTTTTGTTGCCCTCATCCCCTAAGCCACTAATGATGGTAAAGAGGTCGGGCGCAGTGGCTTCAATGCCTGTAATCCCAGCACCTCATTGGGGAGGCGACGGTGGATGGATCCACGTGAGATCAGGAGGTTTGAGGCAGCCTGGCAACAGATGGTGAAACCCACTCTCTACTAAAATCAAAAATTATTAACCAGGGGTGGTGGGTGCACGCCTATAGTGCCCAGCCAGCTCGCGAGCTGAGTAAGGGAGAATCGCTTTGACCGAGAGCAGAGGTTGCCAGTGAGCGAGCTCCGCCACTGCACTTAAGGCCTGGCAACCAAGCGAGACTCCATTAAAAAAAAGAAAAGGAAACAACAGTAAAGGAATGTATTTTAAGGCCTGTATGACGCAGGATCCAACAGGTGTAGGAGAGGAACAATGGGAAAAGCAGAAAGCAAAGTTCTGGGCTCAACCTTGGTCACTTATGGCCTTCCGCTCTGAGACTCAGTAATTATGGCCTGAAACACAGACATCATTTCCAGTTCTTTCTTCATTAAATAAATTGTTTTATTTGGTAATAGTCTTTAATTATAATTGTAGTTTGTTTTGTTTAGCTATTTGTCGTTTTTATAATACACGATAATCAAGTTGCCCATTGTAGAAAGTTTTAAAATACAATAAAACCAGAAAATACGGCCGGGGCGGTGCTCAACCCTGTATCCCAGCACTATCTGGGAGGCCGGAACGGCGGGATCACGAGGTCGGCGAATCGAGACCGCATCCTACCGACACGGTGAACCCCCCCGTCTCTAAACTAAAAATACAGAAAAGCCGGGCGAGGCTGGCGGGCGCCTGGTAATCCCAGCCTACTTGGGAGCTGAGGCAGGAAATGGCGTGAACCTGGGAGGCGGAGCTTGCCAGTGAAGCTGACGATCCGCGGCACTTGCACTCCCGCCTGGGCGGCAGAGCGGAGACTCCCTCTCAATTAAAAAAAAAAAAAAAAAAAAAAAAAAAAAGAAATGGCCAGGCGCAGTGGCTCCATGCTTGTATTCAGCACTTTGGAGACCTGAGGCAGTGATCATGAGATCAGGAGTTCCAAGACCACCTGGCCATGACAGTGAACCCTGGTCTCTATCTAAAATACAAAAATTAAGCTGGACCCTGGATGGACGGGGTGCCTGTAATCCAGCATTACCAGGAGACTGAGGCCAGGAAATTCTTGAACGCGGGAGGGCAGAGGGGCGTGAGAGCAGGACCGTGCCACTGCACTCCAGCCTGGGTGACAGATACACCTGCCCGTCTCAAAAAACAAAAAAAAGAGATAAACGGCCCAAGGCATCGTGGCTCACCCTAGTAATCCTAGCAAGTTTGGGAGGCTTAAAGCAAGCGGATCCACGAGTCAGGAGTTCAGACAGCATGGCCAACCAATGGTGAAACCACGTCTCTATCAAGAAAACTACAAAATTAGCTGGGCTGGTGGGTGCCGTGCCTGTATTAAGCTATCGGGAGGCTGAGGCAGGCATAATGTTGAACTGACCCGGAGGCAGGATGTCAGTGGCGCTGAAGATTGAGCCAGCCACTCGCCAACCGCCTGGGTTACAGAATGAGACTCTGTCTCAAGAAATAAAATAAAACAAAGTAAAATAAAATAAACTAAAGTATCATTTATTATCTAGAAACAAGCACTCACATGTAATTGTGTGTATATATACATATATAAAATTTATATATGTATATATACATCCTGCTAGACTATTTCTATGCATTACTACCTATAAATAGGTATAAAGTACCTATTTGTTTTAATAAAATTGAATTACACTCGTATACTATTTTGTAAACTTTTCACGTACATAAAACGTATTCTTTCAGTAGCAAGGTGCTGTTTAGTGTAAAAGTTTAGAAAATCAACGCAAGAAGAAAATAACAGAAATGACCATTGTTAACATTTTGATATATCTATCTTTATAGTTTTTTAAGAACATACAGGCAGGCCAGGCTCAGTGGTCACAC